CAGTTTGCATGCTTTGTTATTTCGACTTTTAGGGTAGAATTTTTTATTTTTTAATTTTTGTTACAATTTGGGAAAATTGGTCTCTGCTTTGTGTTCATGACCTTTATTTTTTGTTTGATTTTGTGTTTTCCTTCACTTGTCTTCACTTTTATTAAAGCTTATTTGTTTGTTTTATTGTATAAAATGCGTTCAAAAATACCTGCTTCTAAAAGCAAAATGAAGGTTGCTGGAAAAGGCGTTAAGTTTGATTTTTTCGAAAAGATTGAGGGACTTGCCCTCGAGCCCTGATTCTGAAGCTAATGTACATGTCCAGGCCCCAGATGATAATGATTTTGAGTCTCCTGCTCCTCCTAAAAACTCGCAACAAGAGAGCAGTCAAATGACTCGTTCGCAAACGAAGAATACTCCTACTCCAGTTAAATCATCGAGAGACTTGCCCTCAACCCCTGATTCTGAAGAGAATACGCATGTCTAGGCTCCCAATGATGATGATTTTGAGTCTCTTGCTCCTACAAAAAAGTTTCAACAAGATAGCAGTCGAATGACTCATTCGCAAACGAGTAATACTCCTACTCTGGTTAACATTGTTAGAATAAGGAGTAAGAAATGTGGGAGACCTGAAAAATCAAAAGAAAAGCTGAAAGTTGATTTGGTTAATGAAGATGATGTAGGCCCCAGTGTTAAACCAAAAAAGAGAAAGGTCAAGGACGATGGTGAGAGTGTTCTTGATTGCATATCCAAAGAACAAAAGTTTGTTATTTGCTGCAAATTGAATGAGAGAAAAGCTAAGCTGAAGGTATTCCATGTGTTGCTATTAATTTTATACATGCTTATACAATTTCATACAAAGTTATACAGCTGTTTATACATCTTTATACAAGTACTGGGACACTAATTTATACATATTTATACAATGTTTTAGTAGAGTTTTTGTTCCTGATCTCTTTCTTGTTATTTTTCCATATGTAAGGTTGGAGACTTCTATATACAACTAGTTGATCATTTCCACAATAGGATTAGTTCCCATACCGAGACTGATATTGTGAGCATTTTGAAGCAATATTTGACTAACACGCAACTTCAAATATTCCGTGCTAGTTTTTTTTGGGTGCTTATTGGAGATCCCTCAATTTAAAATTCAAAATCAACTTATTCATTGTATACTATTGAGGAAAGTTGTCCCAGGACGGGAAAAGGGAGTTGTGGGTGAAAATTAAAGGTTGTTTGCTATGTTTTGGCATTGGAGAGTTTGTTGTTATCACTGGTTTGAAGTGTGTAGAGGAAGACGCCACTTTCTATGACAAACTAGATGTCAATAGGTTGCTAAAAGAGTATTTTCCAGGAGATGGAAAAAAGGCTATAACGAGGGGGCAACTTCTTAATCACTTCAAGAAAAAGGACTGGAAGTCGGACGAAGATGCATTCAAGATGGCCTGGTGTTTGTCCATCATTTCATATTCTCAGATGCCAATAATCATGGTATCAACAAAGATGATTTAATATCATTGAAAGTGGTCAATATCAGACGTATGCTTGGGGAAAAAAGTCATTTGAAGATATTTTAAAGACAATGAGGGACAGACAGTGTGACTATTTGACAATGTATAGGCTTGGAGGTTTGCCACTTGCATTACAAATATGGTTTTTTGAGTGTTGCTCTATGGTTGACAAGCATCTAGCTGTTCGCGTTGGCACAAATGTACCACGCATTCTTAATTGGAAAGTCACTGAAACTTCAACATATACGGATTTGACTGGCGGGGTGATCATGTCTAGTATCGACAAGGTAAACATTTTGTACCATAATACTTCTTCATTTATGATTTCAGTTTTTCTGTAAGTATGTATATTTATGAATATGTCACAATTTCCTTTTTATACTATTGTAATCCAGTTTTTCTTCTTGTAGTTGAACTATAGGTTTTCCCCTACTCGTGAAGAGATGTCAACTCTGAACATCGCCACGCTTTTTGAAGTTAATGTCGATGATGTTGCATCAGGGGAGGTGCCAGCCTTTCACACTGATGATTCTGTCGCTGCATCTCCACCTTGTCCTCAGAATATGGAACAATAGTTTAAAAGACCTTATCCTCAGAATATGGAGCAACAGACTAAACGACCTTTTCCTTAGAATATGGATCGACAGCCTAATCCAAGTTATGATCCTTCGGTGCGCATTGATCTGTTGAATGCTGAAGTTGAGAAGTTGAGGAGTGTTGTTGGAAAGGTACTGGAGCTTTAGCTTTTCTGTAGTTTATCGGTATTTTTTGTATATGCATGATTTTTTGGTTATAAACATGGTTGTTGATTTACTTTTGTTGTTTTTGTTTTTTTTGTTGTAATTGACTGATATAGTTACGACACTCAACATTTATATAGTTTCTTCCTTTGAAAAAGTGTTCAATTTTCTGAATATGAAGGAAACCAAGCAAACGAGGGAGGATGTAACTGATCCTAAGGTAATATTTTACTAATAAAACCAAATCACTCAACAGTTATGCCTTCTCTGAATTATCACTCAACAGTTATGCCTTCTCTTTCTATTGTTTTTCATTAGATTCGTCAGCATGTGTCTGATGACAATACATCTGGTTTCGGCAAATTTGATGGCTATCAATATGACGTTGTTCCTGACTTTGTCGATCAAGTGGATCAAGAAAACGCGCTAGCTGACGAGGGAGTTATTGATGGTATTGATCATGGTATTCGTTCTGCATTTTATCTTTTTTGTCTGATTTTTCTTTTTTTCATTTTGAAAGTTTTTTATTATTGGTTTTCTCTGTCTAAGGGGCAGCAGGTGATGCCAATGGTGACACATTTTGGGATGACATTGGCGATGAAGATTTAGTTGTGCTACAGATGTCCCAAATTGTGCTTCACAGACCATCCATCATAGACGTAGAAGATGATTACATTTCTCCTTAACAGTCGGTTTGACAGAAAATACCAGGAAAATATGCCAAATCTCCATATTTGCCAATTTTTGATTCGAGGGCATCAGGATCGGCACACAAGGTCATTTTTGATATCTTTCACGATCGAATTGATGATTTTAATGCATTGTCGCTATTGGCTAAAGAGTTTTGAGCGTTTGTTGATAATAGGATGGATATGAGGCGAAGGTATCTTAACTTTCTTTAATCTTTTATGTTTTGATTTTATACTTGTCAATGAAAGTAGTTTTGATTACTTTTTATTTTTTGTGATTTGAAGTGCCAAAAATATTATACCGATGAAGTAAATAAGCTTGCGGAAGCTTTTACTTTTGGCTCATGTCATGTGACCACGAAGGATTGGTTCCACTCACTTGCGTATTGTGGTCGACCTTTAATTGACACGGTATTTAATAACTTTCTGTTCTAATGCCTTTTTTTATTTGTTTTATATCTTTATTGTTTGAGACCCCCATAGTGTATACATAGCTTTGTATAATCACAATATAAGATTGTATAACCTTATATAAATATGTATAACTCTGTATAATAGTGTATAAATTTCTATATTTAAAAAAATCTAGTAGTGATGGTTGTTTTGTTTTATTTATTGTCTCAGCACTTAGATGTCCTCTTTTATTATTCGAGGAAGAGGAGAAAATATGGGCCGAATGTTGCCATGCGGTTTAATACAACCGACTTTGCCTTTGGTAACAAAATCAACTTCATGTATAAAGATTTCAAAGTGAATCAAGATCCTTCAGTGAATCCTGAAGGGCATGAGATAGAAGAGTACATTAGAGGATATTATTGTGATGCAAATGCACCGTGGCACACTGTTGACCACCACTTATTCCCTATCTATGTGAAGTGCGGAAGAGCAAAATTGGGCCATTGAGTTTTGGGGTTGTTTACGTTCATAGATAGGTGCATCCACATCTATGACTCTAACTGTAGAGCTATTAATGATAGACTTGCTTTGGATGTTGCATTACCTTATGCAATTTTGATACCTTAATTCTTGAAGAGTTCTGATTTTTATGTTGAGAAGAAGGGCATTGATTGGAATAATGGTGCATATACCGATAAATCCCATTCTGATGCTTTGAAGATTAATCTGGTTAATAATGTGTCCCAACAGATCAAATGGTAGGTTAGTCTCAATTGTTTTACTATTTTACTATTAGTGTACCTATTTACAGTAACGTATAGAGAATCTGATTTGTTTCTTTTTAATTACAGTAATTGTGGTGCTTTTATTGCTGGCTTTGCTGAGTATTTCATCCTTGGTAAGGAAATTCAAAAAAATAATTTTGACGTTGAGACACTTCGCACTAGGTGGGAATCTCTGTTGTGGGATTATGGAAGGAAAGAACAACAGTCCGGTGCAATTAGTGGTGATGAAATCACAGGGAGACTTTTCAGGAAGAGGAAGAGAGGATGACCGAGAAAGTAGTTCTATTTTTTCCATTTTACTGTAGTTTTGCTATGTATTAGGAGTTGTTGCCTAGTTTGGTCAAAGTACTATTCTACTACTTGTGAGATAACCTTAAAGGATATTATAGATGTTTTTATTTTTGTGTAATTTGTGGTAGTCACTACACATTGTGGTTGTGAATGAATTACATTTTAATGAATATTTCAGTTGCTTTTATCCTTTAACAAAGTATGTATTTTCATTATGGTTGCAGTTTTGTTATTGTTGCAGGGTTTATACATATGTATACAATAATATACATAGTTATACAAACTTATACTCTCATTTATACATCTGTATACATATAAAACCATTGATTGTTTGTAGTTCTATTTTGTATTGTACAATCTATCAATATATTTAGCACCATTAAAAACAGCAAGACACTATTATTGGATAATCAAAACATGTATACTGAAACATATTTAACATAATTGCAATATATAGTGTAAATTGTAATTCTTTATTGACATTTGTAACTCGATTGCTTGTGAAACTTAACTACTCAATATTTGTAACTCTACTGTTTGTGAAACTTAACTACTCAGCATGATAACAAATGTAATAGGAAGTGTTATGTTTTCAACTATTTATTTTGTTCGATTCCTACATGTTTTTCTATTGTGACCACCTTGTCCACACACAGAACATGAAAACGCCCTCTTAGACTCTTTCTCTGAAGCAGGTTTGAGTCTTTCCTTTCTTGGCCTTCCTGCATTCCTTCTCCCTTTAGGTGGTAGGACTACATCTTCCAGCACATATGTTGGGATTACCCATAAACTCTCATCTGGCACCAGATTCATTGGAAATTCATAAGTTCTATGGAGGTTATCCTTCTTGTAGTAAAAAGAGCAATATTGGCCAGGTTTCAGCTGCTGGTTCTTCAAAACCGCCCAAGCATGCGGACATGGAAGTTCATCCATTTGAAATTTCCGCAACTGCATGTTCCCTCTTCAAGGCACACTATGTTTTGCCTTACCCCTTCAAACACAGTATATAATTGCTCCGTAGCAGGCCTCACCTGCAAAAAAAATTTTTAAAAAAAGTTAAAGAACATTATACATTATTATACAGAGTTATACATCCTTATACAAGTAGTAAAATGCAAGTCAGCAGTGCCAAGCATCATTATATTTGATTTATTTTACCGTCATTTGTTCCGATGCAATCAGATTTTCCCCAAAGAGTTCGTCGTATTTTTCTCCAAGCTCTGTAGATGTCTCCATTGCCCTTTTTTTGTTTTTGTTGTTTCATTGTTGTAGCAAATATGTCATGTACTCCAGCAATCGCATTACTGATAACTCTCTAGCATCCTTGTTTGTTGCATTAATTGACTCTGCAATATTGGAAGTCATTACCATCATCCTTTTTATGCCCTAGACCACCTTTTTGTAGCCAATTTCGAACAAGTAAGGCTGCACCCTCAGATCAATTTTGTAAATCTCTGTCATATGGTAGTCAAACTTCTTTATCGTGTAAGCTCTAGCCAAAGTAAAGAAGATATCGTTCAATTGTTTGTGATGTTTCTTGAATGTGCGCTTTACGTTCTGCCACAAGTGAAACATGCAAATACAATGTGGTACTTCTGGGTACATAACTTTTGTGGCATTGAAGATGCTTTCGTTTCTATCTGAAACTATACACATCCCTTCCCTAACACCAAAAATACCCTTTATCTGGACAAAGAACCACTCCCAAGATTTGTTATTCTCTGAATCTACAATTGCATATGCAAGTGGAAGGATTTTTCCTGTTTATACAAAATAGATATTAGGATTCAGACAATTATACAAATTTTATACACAATTATACAACTTTATACCAACTGCAAATTTTATAAAAACAATAGCTGTGAAATCCTACACACTTTTATATATGAAACTAGAACATTATACAAACTGCAGAAACAAGGTAGATGCAGTCAACTCACCAGCTCCATCCTGTGTGCAAGCAGTCAATATAGTACCCTTATATGCTGCTTTAAGGAAACTTCCATCAACAACCATTATCGGTCTACAATGCTCCCAACCCTTGTTAGATGCATATAGCGAAACATATGCATAAAGAAAGCATCCATCTTCTGATTTGTGCAACTTTGTAAACGTTCCTGGATTTGTATGCTCCAACATATAAAAATACTTCGGCAACTCCTTATATGAATCATTCGGATTCCCTCTTATCATTGCCTTTGCTATCTCTTTAGCTCTCTATGCTTTTATGTAGCTCACTTCAATCCCATGTTGCTTTTGTATGTCCTCTATTATATCATTTGCGGTGTAAACTTTTTTTTGGATTAACATACTTGTCCTTGACTATACTAGCAATTACACCCGAAGTAGCTTCACGTTGTGTTAAGTATCTTTCACCATAGTCGCATGTGTGATTATTATTGTAACTTCTCATCTTGAATATGTTTGCCTTGAAAATGGCAGAAGATTTGAAACTCCAAGCACAATTGTCTTCCACACACATAAGGTGATACCTAGGATTCAAGATCATTCAATTTCTAAATACACTTGTATACAAAAACATAACTAGATATATACTAATTTTAATACCTATATACAAATATATACTACTTTATACATATATATAACAGAATATACAACTATTGCCATACCTTGTTGCGTTTTATCTCTTCACCTTGAATTGGAACCTCTCGCGTACAACCAAGTTCTTCATCACAATCATAACTATCTCTTTATCTTTATAAACTTGATCCTCCTCAACAAATTCGTTCAACATATTATCTATTATACCCGTATTTTCACTAAATTTCGTGTTTTCAATGAATTCGATATCAGGCATAATCTTAGTGCTATCAATTGTGGATACATCTATAGAATTGGAACTTGTAAGAACAAAACAACTGGAACTTGTAGCAACCAAACGATTATCATAAATCTCTTTTACTGTCACAAACAAGGGGTATTCAGTGAAATTCAAGTTTTTCTTCTTTAATTAGACATACACCTTAACACACGTATCGTTGTAAATCAGGATCGGTGACAAACCATCATTTGGGAGAAAGTTAATCTCTATTGTGTTTAACTCACTATCGATCCTAATTTGTTCCGAAATAGCTGCAACTAAATTGTTGTAGCTGAATGTCGACTCGATTATTACACAATCGCTGACGAAATTGATAAACTTGTTTTCTTTCCATTCACCACTATGAAGAACGTAAACTGGAAAAAGCTCCATCGAACAAAAAGTTGAAATCAAAATTGCAGCAAAAATGAAAATTGTGTTGATTTGCAGCAAAAAAAATTCACTTTTCGTGTTTAATTTGCTGTTAATTCGAGATGAAGAAGAGTTTCTAGGATTTTTGGAGTTGCATTGACTGCAAGATCACGTTTTTGTAGATTTGAGGAAGAAGAGGAAAGAATGAGAGAAAATCCCGCTGAAAGATACAAAATCCCGCTTCTGAGTCTCAAAAACGGAAATAACACCCCTTTTTCGGATATGGACCTGTTATGTTGGGCTACTCAATTGTAAATTGAAATATGTGCTATAAAGTTGAAAAGGAGGCAGTCCAGTTATTTTAATATGAAATTTTCCCTAGTTTATGATACAACTCTTTTGAGTATAATTTATAATAATATCTAAATAGGCATGGAGGGCTTCTCTTCCAGCTGAGAAGATTGCTCCTCAGCACACTGTCATCATAGAAGTACATAAAGTGCGATACTTTCTTTAGATTTATTTTTTTATTTTATTTTTTCATATGTAATTTTTTCTTAGTGATTTTTTCCCCGTGTTATGTCGTATGTTACATCTATAAATTTTATTTTTGTGGTATTATGAAAATTTTAGCTCTTCTCTTAACGAAATTTATAAAAAAGGTTATTTGGTTGATTCATTTTTAACCGCACGAAGCGCAAATAAATTAACTAGTTAATCTAATAGCCTTGGGCAACAATGGGGAATTAAATTCCTTAAGAAAATAAAGTTTTCTGTTGGGTTCGTAACATTTATTTTTTATTTCAGTTTCTGTTTTACTTTTGCAGAATTTATTTTCGAACACAATCTACTAACACTCTTTCTCTCTCCCTTATCTGTCTTCTTCCAAAAAATATTAGATTAAAAATACAAATCACTAAACCTAAAATTAAAAATTAATTAATCTAAAAACTAAAAGAAAAAGAAAAAAAGAAAAAGAAGAATTAACCTAAATAGTAGCAGAATCAATTACAATATAAACTAATAATAGCTTGCGGATGTATAATTTATGTATAATATGTGTATAATCATATATAGTTAGTGTATAATCTATATATACCGACTAGAAAACATAAATAGTAAAATCAAACGGCCTTTTGTGTGTAGATCCCCAAAAAAAAGGTTGGTAGTGGGGCGGGTGATGATGGGTTTAGCCGAATAAGGGGGAGGGGGCTTGGATGGGTGGGGTGGGGTTTAGAATTAAATTTGTTATTTTTTTTTTAACTTAAAAATAGTTTTCTCTTTTCCCCTCATTGTTTTTTAAAATTTTTTTGGATCCAAATGTCAAATGTCATCGGTTACTTTGCCGCATTACTGGCGAATATATTACACTCTTTTTATTTTTGTTGGTTATCAAAAATTCTAATAGGAACAAATTAAGTACCATAAGGAATCGTATGACACGAGAGATAAGGAATAATTAATCTCGGGATTAAATTTGAGATGAGTTTATTTTATGTTTAGTTGGGATAAAATCGCAATATAATTAATTTCGAGATTAGTTTTCCGGAATTGTAGTGTTACTTTTATTCCTATGAGAATGTGGCATAATAATCTCGGAATAATTAATTCCCGGGTGACTTGTTTCTCAACCAATCTACCGTAAGTGTTGAATTGGAATGTGACTTGCATAAGGTGGCATACGTGTCACATATGACTTTGGCCAAGTTTAGAACTTTTCTAAAAATACATGATTTCTCTTTTTCTTTTTGAGTCAACGAGAGTGGAAAAAGAGCATGGTTAGTAATGGTCGAATCTTAAATATAATTACCATTATCATAGACTTGTCTCTTAATCATTGGCAACAGTATGAAAGCTTGATTCAACTTGTGGCTACAAGCTAGTGTTTGGTAAGGTTCCAAAGCTTTATTTAACTTAAAATATTTTAAACAAGACTTAATTCTTAATGTACTCGGAGTATATATAATTCATTTCATTTGTTTCTTAAAGGCTACGTGCAAGAAGTGACGGAGTCTATTTATAAAGAACAAATTGTAGTAGTTTCCAGGAAGATTATAGCTTTTAAAGTATGTTTATAAGGGAAACTACAATTAGACATGTAACAAACAATGCATCATCAAGATGTTCATGTTTTTAAAAATAATCCTTGATTCCCTCACTAAAAAATTTAAGACGACGGAGTGTGTCTCAACGTCCAATTTTACAAAGTCAAACAAAAGCCAAACTAATCAAATCATTTTAAAAACTCGATTTAGTAAGAGGGTATCACCCGGTTCTTCCTCCTCATTTAACATTTCAACCTCCATACTCTCTTTTTCTCTTGAATATGCGTTATGCCTTTATTTATTAATTTATTTATTTTTGATCTTGGCATTTTACAATGAGAGAAAGTCATTTGAAATGGTGTAAAACCGTACGAGATGAAATAAACTTAAAATCATAAGAAAGAAAGTTGTGTCACAAGACCTACAACAACAACAACAACATCCCAGTATAATCCCACCAGTGGGGTCTGGGGAGGGTAGTATGTACGCAGACCTTATCCCTACCCCGAAGGGCAGAGAGGCTGTTTCCAGGAGACCCTCGGCTCAAGAGAGCAACAAAGAGACAATATATTAGTACTATCAATAAAGTCATAATAAATAACATAAAATACATAATATAAAACAACAGAATAACAACAATATAAGAAATATAGGAAATACGAAAAAGGATGGAGAAAAGTATGTAAGGTATACTAATATCCAACCGACACAAGCCCTACATCCGTAGCCGATCAGTAGTCTCCTAAGACTAACTCCTAAATGGCTAGTGTTACTCTAGTGTGTTGTAGTAATACTCACAGACTTCCCCCTAACCTACAACCTTAATACTCGACCTCCACAATTCCCTATCAAGGGCCATGTCCTCAGAAATCCTAAGTCGTGCTAGGTCCTGCCTAATCACCTCCCCCCAATACTTCTTAGGTCTCGCTCTACCTCTCCTCATGCCCACCACAGCCAGTCGCTCACACCTCCTCACTGGCGCATCAGTGCTCCTCCTC